GAGAGTTTAAGGACCTGACGCATGTGTCAAAGGACAAACTGTTTTTGTACACCATGTTACCTCCATGCAGTTTTGTTTTTTTTTGGTAGACATTCGCATTCGCATTCAACTTCTGATTTTGATTTAACAAAACTCAATTGGTTACTTTTGATTTGCAATGAGCATGGCAACAATGTATTCCAATGTCAATAGTTCCGTGGCATTGTTTTAGCTCTATACACGTCTTGCAACTTTTCTTGCAACTTTTGCTAATTTTTCTTGCAACTTTTTGCAACTTTTGCTATTTTCAAATGCAACTTTCTCTGAGGACAGAATTCCCTAGATGCACCCCCGAAACCACCTTCCTAAACATTCCTTGTCTTTATTTAGCCTGAGCTTGCCACAAAGTTTACAAGATTAAAAACTTAACTTGAATAAGATCCTAGATCTAGATCTATATATCTATATCTATATCTATAAATCTAGATATAAATCTAACACTATTCGACTAAAAGGAAGAACCTTAAATATATTCATGTTGGAACATCTCTAGACTCTATACTAGATTAGATAGATTCTAGAGCATAGCAGAGTTCTCAGGGCCCTACCTCCTTCTTTTTCGAAATATTTATTTCCAAACTGATCTGTTCCAACAAATTTTGTTTTTTGCTTTGCTACAAATAATGAATTCTTAAAATTCTCAAAAAATTTGCCGATGAGACCAAAACGTCTAGCCATTGCAGATCTCCGGTGTAGGAAAAATTAACAAGATCTAGAATCTGGAAGACATCAAGTTTCACAACAATTGGATCTGTAGGTCATGACAGTATGTATAGAGGAAACGATGAATGAATGCGAAAGTAAAAGTGTTTTTCTCTTCACAGTGACCTCCCCTTCCCCTTGCCCTCGGCACAAAAGATTGTTTTAACAACACGGGACGTCACTCTCGTAAACTGTTCCCATCCATTTGATTCCTTTGTATTTTTATAAGACTTGTAAGAGAAGCACGTATCAACCTGTAGTGCTGATCGTGCTCGCTAATTCTGGGTAAGGTACATGTATTTATAATGTATATACAGACATTGTTGTATTGGCCCTGTAGGTAAATATTTGGTGCTGTTCTGCAGAAGAGAAAAAATGCTGCAATTTCTTTCTCAAGGAATTCATGCAGACCTGCGTGTGTCTGCTATTTTACTCTGCCCAACTCAAACTCAAAGCAAGGAGTGTCCCGATCACTAGATCTAGATCTAGATCTAGATCTAGATTTAGATCTAGATATTCTAGATCTCTATCTCCCAACTCCTGGCTCCCGGTTCAAACAATGTAATGCACTTGTATCTTACCTTTGTCTTGTTGACTCGTGCAAAAAAATTGCCGAGCACAGAAGACAAAAGTCAAAAGCCTCGAGTCCCTTAAAAATTAATTGCTACTTCTGAAAAATGAGTTGTTTGCCTTAAGTTAAGGCAAGGCTAAGATATAGGGCATGTGACATGATAGTTTGAAATAGCTGTTGATTCTTGTACTTGTAGTCAAATTGTAGCTTTACTTCATAGGACTTACTTTAACTGTATCCCGTGGGCCAAATTATTTCGTAGAAAAAGCAGATTGTTTCTGCTTTCTGGTTATATTTAAATGTTATATCTCGAGGATATTTCGAAAATATCATGGGGACATATATTATATCCTTGTTCATAAGATAGTTTTTGTTTACCCCTCAATTTCAAGCGTCTAGGTCTAGATCTATATTATTGTGTAGTTAGCAAGAATTCCAGAAAGGGGGGGGGGGAAGGGGTCTTTTATACCTTCCTATTCTTCAAATGCTTGTTTTTCATTTCAATGACAGGGGTTTTTTTGGCATGAGTCAATGGATTGGGGGGACAAACTTCACTCCATTGTAAAAGAAACTGAAGAGAATTTGGCTAAAGCGAAGGTAAGTCATATTTTTTTTCTTTTAGTTATTTTTTGAATAGTTTGTTTAAATGATTTTTTAAAAATGATTGCAAAAGATCAAGATTTTTTTTAACCTCTCACAAAATAAAACTGTTATGTAATACAGGGTGCCCACTATTGCTGGATCGGGGCCGATCGGGCTCCATCCGTAGTGGGCACCCTCTGATAGAACTCATAATTTTCATTATAAGAGATCATATAGATCTATATATTAGAACTTTTTCTCAGAATTGGACTTAGTTTATATAAATATTACTAAATCATTGATCTCATTAACAATAATATTTGATTCACGTCAAGTAATTTTCTTTTGAACTTTGTCTCATGTGAAAACTGTTCTCGAATATATTGCCAGGTATAACTTCTTTTGCTTTTCTGTTTTTATTGTGTCTTTCAAATTTTAAATCGTCTTAAACTGTTTTGAAAGGTGAGTCTGAAATGTGCCAAAAAATGTCTCTTGATCTACTAAGCTGGTATTGAAATTCATGATGTACATTATAATGATTTATAATCCTTCATACCCTTGTGTCCTATAAGCAGATCTAACTCGTACCGCAGGTTAAGCTCAATGAATGGTACCATGTCTTATATCTTGTGTGTATTCTACTTTGAGGTAAACGGTAAAATTTCTGTATTCCTCCTTGGCAAAGGAAATCATGAGATTCAAGTGAAATATGACGATACAGCCGTCTCCTCAGACTGTTGTTTATTATGAATTTTATGTCATACAGTTCTTGAAAAAATAATATCTAAAAAAATTGGCTGTTTACATAGTGCTTGCAACTTTTTTTTTGGTGACATTCTTTGCTTTCATTTTGTTCCAGACAGAGAATGATAATGGGTGTGAGGGTTGTGCATAATTGTGATCTCAGAAGGGAAAACGGATTCCTGATAATCACACTTTGTAGGAGCATGAACCAAAGAAAAAAATATCATTTTCATTTTGAGTATTTCTTGACTGTAACCATATTTTATGATTTATCCTCTAGGAAAAACTAACAGGGAAAGTAGCGTCTCCTCGTAGCAATCCTCCTCCTCTGTTGACCCCGAGGTCGGTGAAAGCCAGACAGTTGTCCCGGGGATTCTCCACATACTCCAGTCCTCTCGGCAAACAGCGGCCGACTCTTACTCCACGATCAGCACTTGTCGATTCCCCGACAGATGCGGCCGTCAACATGAACAGTGCTAGTGACTTCCAGGTTTTGCACATGCAAGATCAAATCGACTCGCAGAATCGGGTAAGACTTAAAGATGAAACTTGATATAGTGTTGAAACTGGACTGCAAAATTTGATGACTGATCCAGCTTCTAAACTATATTTTGATACAGATCTGGGTGCAAACAGAAAAAAATGAGCTGCTTTCTCGAAGTGTATGTTAACTTGGTTCTCTGAACACGTCATGCAGTCAAACAAAAGACATGGTTATTTTGAGTTAAGAAATTTCCTGTATTTTTACCAGAGACCACGAGTGAAACAGTTGTAGCATGAGCTTCCCCAACAGGCAAATACCTTCAGGTTCTGGTCGAAGGGACAACTTGTGGGTGGCTGGCGGGTGCTCTGATGTGGTTTGCTCCATCTTTCCTATCAAACATCTATCGTCCTTCTCTCTCCTCCTTTTTTTGTGTATGTCACTCTCTTGAAACACGTCTATTCTTCGGCACTTATATGACCTTATCGTATTGCAAGTGCTGTAAAACTCTTACTAACACTAAGAGACAATTTAGTTTGGTGGGACGTGTCTTTACTTTTTTACTTCGGTCTTCCTTTCCATCTGAGCGTTGTGTCTTTTTCCTTGTTACAACTGTTTTGCACACATTGTCAATCTTATTTAACATAGTTGGATTTGCATTTTAATTAGATTATCTTTTTTAAAATTTTGTACTGTCATTTTCATGTTAAGGGTAAAGCTCTTTCTGCATGATTCTGGCTAGCAAACCTTTCTATCACAAGACATCAGAATCATTCTACTGGCAGCTTTTACACTTTTTGAAGCCCTCCCCTCATTTGACAAAAATAGAACAGATCAACAGAGATGTACAGGTGTCTGTGGTGTAGCGGTTAGACCCTTTGATGTGGCATGCTAGACACCTGAGTTTGATTCCCAAGTGGTGATACATTTTACTGAGTATCTCTGTATTTCTTATGGGATGTTGTATCTCTGTCAGCCCAGGTTGTCCCTGACAGGCAGGTTCAGAGGCGCACCTCCTAAATGATTTAAATTGTGTTAATGGGTGCTGTGATGTGGTTTGCTCCTTTTTTCCTATCAAACATCTATCGTCCATATCTCTCCTCCGTCTTTTCGATGTATGTTACTCTCTTGTAACACCTATAATCTTCAACATTTATATATTCCTATTTGTTTTGCAAGTGCTGTAAAACTCTCACTAAAACTAGACTTAACTGTGAGACGTATGGTATAATTATTGAATTGTCTCTGTCCATGTCATGTCCAGACCATCGACGGTCTCCAGGAGCTGGTGAGGGCCCTGAACAACGAGCGAGGATTCTACAAGGAACAAATTTCTCAGCTGAAAAGTGAGTACAGAGGGAATTGTCCAAGACAGCCACCGATTTGTCGAGGAGAAGAATGGTTGTCTTACACTGGTGGGCATCTTGGACAATATCAGTAAAAGATGTTTTTTAAAAGTGTTTTGTGGCACTTGCAACTACATAAGGCCGTATGGGTGCGCAGATTAATTCTTTGATGAAATATTTCATGTTGGACAGGTTATTATTTTATGCAGTGCCAGTATATATATGTAGAAAAAACAAATACAAGGAAGGAAATGGAAAGTGGCTATTTATACAGGTGGCCATCTTAGTAGAATCAGCTGTAGATATGTCATAAAGTAGGAATTTCTTTTCTTAATGGTTTGATTGGCACAAACACAAACGAGATCTAGCTTTGATATTGTGACTCCTGCGTTGGTAGATGATGATGACATCCACCCCTTGGTGCTCATGTGACCTTATGCAGTTGCGAGCGCCGTAAAACCCCTACCCAAAAATAAAAACTAAAAGATGATGATGAAGTGGATGGCTTCATGCTAGACTGGCACAAACTAGATCTGTGTCTGAGATATTGACACTTGCGTCCGTAGATGAAGTGGACGGCCTCACAGACAAGATGAGCAGTCAGCTGGCCTTCGCGACGTCGGAGCGACATCTGTCCAGTGTCAAACGTGACGTGATGCTGGAGGTGGACAAACTCAAACACATGCTGCAGACGTACACGAGAGAGGCCAACCGCCGACACAGCGCTCTCTCCCCTAGTCTGGACTCGGAGTTTTGGACCGTGTGAGTTTTCCTGGTCGTCTTGTTTGTTTGTTCCTAGCCATGTCATATGTTTCCAGAGCACTCAGACTTTTTGCTGTGTTGTGCTGTCCTTGTCGTTTTATGCTAGAAAAATGCTGAAATTATGCAAACTGAGCCCTAAAATGTGAAATTATGCAATTTTTGTTATTTTTAACAATGAATGATAAAGGAAAATAATCAGAAATTTTACAAAAATGATCAAATTTTGATAAATTATGCGGGATGCATAAAACCACACAGACAGACTGGGCATAGCCTATGGTGAGGCCAAGGTCAATGTCAGAGTAGAGAAACCTTCGAGTGATGATCCAAATTGTCTCAGAGAGGTATATAACCCGCTGAAACAAAAAGAATTTGCCTCGAAAGTTTTTGTCTAGTTATTAATCAATCACTTTTAAGGACAAGCGGGTTAACCCAGATTTCGAGGGTTTCCAAAAATCTTGACCCGCACCAAAAGTGAGCATTGCCCTATCTATAGGAGAAGTTTGGTTTCATTGGTGTGTATATTTGTTTGGTTATAGAGAAAACTCTCCTTGTCTTTTAAAGAAACTGAACAAGGGTCTAAAAACTTTACCTTCGATTTTTTTCAAACCAGCATTTTTGGGGATAGCCCCCTAGTTGTGCTTAAAAGCAGCTAATTAATCATTGGTGTGTCAATGTTTGTGTGCTTAGTTGGCTGCTTGCTCTGTATGCTTCCCGGGAAGCTGAGAGTGTTTCTGATTGTCCATGTGTCTACTAGGGTAATACTAGTTGTAACGTGCATAAAGCTTGCTGTAGACTGTGGATATACGCTAGATAGATGCAGTTTTTATTGTAACTTTCCTTTCAATGAGAATCGTTGTTTGTTTGGGGTTTTTTCAGCAAAGAAAACTTGACGGACAGTTTGGAGCAAGTGCGCTGTGAGCTGAGTTTGATGAACAAGAGAATAGGTAGGGAAACCTTCCAGTCTTTGTCACATGTCCGTGTGGATGTACATGTGGATTATTGTTGTCAGGTTATTGCAAATAGAAGATACAGGCTTATGTCAACTGTCTAGATTTTCCCCTGACTGTCCCAGATTTGGCAATCAGGAATTTGAGAGCTCTGTCACATGTGAAGAGCACTGAGGAAAAACGACTGTAATCACCAACATGAAATTGTGAGGGTGCCAATTTTAAAAGCTTGTGGACTCATAACTTCATATTTGTTTGACTGGTGGTTTATTGTTAAGTGTTGTTGAATGGGAAATCTAGCAACAGTAATCAACCAACAGTTGAACTGAAAGACATTTTGAGTCAACAAGCGTTCAAAATTGGTACCCTCACGATTTTCAGTTTCTGACTACCGTCGTTTTTCTCGTGTAGTCTTCATGTACAGTTCTGTTGGATGTGGTTGTGTTGGTTGGTATTTTATGTCATCTGATGACATAACTTTCACCTGAATGATATTATTATAAAAGATCAATTTAAATATTTCTGTGTTGAACCAAATTTTCAAATGTCTGCATATGTTCTTTATATTCTTCTTCAGTGCATTGAGCACTTCTTTGTGGAAATGCGTTCTATAAATGCAATTTATGATTATTATTCAGTAAGTCACACTGTGGACAAAGTGAAGTGTTCTCCTGACTCACTGTTTATCTGTCTGTCTGTCTTCCTCTTCTGTTTTTTCTCCTTCTTCTTCTTCTCCTCCTTCTTCTTCTTCTCCTCCTCCTCCTCCTTCTTCTTCCACGATTTGTGTCTCAGAGCTCTGTGTTCCTGTTTGTTTCTAAGTAGAATGTCATAAAGAGTTGTCAAGAGATACGAGCATAGGAAAATGGTAGGTATTTCAATCAACTTTCCCAGCAGTTTTAGATTTCAGTCTTGAAATTCGCCGACCCCCCCCCACAAACTCTGTTACAATAGTTAGCTAAGATTCCAATGCCTTAGAATTCACAGCAGTAATGCCTCAGATAATGGCTCAGAAACATGTGACACGTATATATGTGTGTGTTTTGTGTGGTTGATGTTGCAGATCGGATGGAAGTTCAGATCGCCAACGACTCTCGGGGCCATCAGTTCAGCAGAGATAGCACCGACCTTTCATTTAAGGTAAGCTTTGGACTCTTCATGCTTGTTACAATGTTAGTACTGTGCATCTTCAAATGTGTTGCAGAATGTTGCTTATGCGGTTGTGAGCGCCGTAAAACTTTTACTAAAACTAAACAGCAGAATGTGTGTCCTGGAAAAGTGAAATGGATGATGAAGGGGAGGTCAAGCTACTAATCTGAAGGGATATACGCGTACCCATGACGAATTGTGTGTCTTCATACAATGAATTCCTTGACTATTAAGGGCTTCTGTGATTCCCACTTTTTTGTATATATATATATATAGCAATCACCGAATAAGGACGATGTACAGTTACAATAAGAATATATACTACAAAATCTTCTTGTGGGTGGTTTGCGGGAGCTCTGGTGTGGTTTGCTCCTTCTTTCCTATTAAACTACTATTGTCTTTATCTCTCCTCCTTCTTTTTTGTGTTTGTTACTCTCTTGTAATGCCTCTAATCTTCGGCACTTATATGACCTTATTGTGTTGCAAGTGACGTAAAGCTATTCTTAAAATTTTTTTTAAAAACCAAAACCTTCTTTTAAGACTTTCTGAGAACAGTACAAAGCACGGCAAATCACATCATGTTTTTCTTGTTTTGTTTTCTCGTGTGCTCTCTAGATTCCCCCGTCGCTGCGAACAACGTTACCTCCCCTGTACACCCCGGCCACGCCCATTCCGCAGGGTCTCAGTGGATTAGATATACAACAGATGAAGTAAGATTTCTGGTCACTTACATTGTCATTTAGTTATATACAATATATATATATATATAATTTGTTTGTTTGTTCCTGTATGTTACTCTCTAGTAACACCTCTAATCTTCAGCACTTGTGTGAACTATATGTGGCGCAAGTACTCCGTAAAACTTGCTAAAACTAATCAGAAATTATGCAAAAAATGATCAAATTTTGCTAAATTATGGTCCACTGTTCTGTCCCCGTGGTTTTATGCACCCCGCATAATTTAGCAAAATTTAGTCATTTTTTGCCTAGTTTCTGATTATTTTCCTTCATCCTCCTTTGTTAAAATGAACAGAATCGCATAATTTCACATTTTTGGGCTCAGTTTGCATAATTTCAGAATTTTTCTTGCATAAAACGACGGGGACAGACAGTTGTGACAGGCAGTGACAAATTTTTCCTAACAGCAGAAGTTTTTTTTTTTATCAAGTTGCCAAAGTTGGATGATAGAAATATGTGAGGCTACATCAGAAAATGTCTGTGGCACTCAGGAATTATATCAGGAAATTAAGTTCCGGTACCCTCCTACAAATGACTCGTCCTGTGTCTAGCAGTATGATATTATACTGTGGTGCTGTTGTTTTACGAAGCTATAGTGTTATTCTTACAAAATCCCTTGCTTTGAACATTTTTGCCAAGTTTTTCATACGCTTAGGACCACGTCTCTCATAGTTTCCTTGTGGGTGGTTGGCGGGTGCTCTGGTGTGGTTTGCTCCTTCTTTCCTACCTAACATCTATCATTTTTATCTCCCTTCCTGCTTTTATGTGTTTATTACTCTCTTGTAACACCTCTAATCATCAGCACTTATATGACCTTATTGTGTTGCAAGTGCCGTAAAACTTTTACTAAAACTAAAAAAAAGGAGTAATTTTCTTTTTAGAAGGCAGTACAGTTTGACCATCATTCACGACTCTCTGTGTTTCCCCAACTGTCTGTGTGTTACCAGGTCCACGATCTCGTCTCTGAACTCCAAACTGGACAACCTGGAGAGGAAGGTGGAGGAGCCAGTCGGGCAGACCTCGGCGCTGTTCTCGTCGTCGCTGAGAGCAAGTGAGTTGTGCTGGCTTAACCCTATCCATACGCCCTAGGGTCATTTTGCACCCCCGGGGTTGTATTATTCACATTTTAGAATACTTCTAGTACGAAGATCTTGAAACTTTCAGTATTTCTCAAAAAATCATTTTGACAGACTGCTATGCAAAGCGTACGGATCGGATTAACGAGTAAATTTCCTTTTTGAAAAGTGGTGGCACAGAGTTCCCCTCATCCTATGGATCATCATCATCATCATCCAGTGCCAGATCTGCGACAGACATCGGCGATCATGGTTCTCCATTCATTCCTTTGCTCGGATGCTCTCAAAAAAGTTACGTTTCCCAGATCTTTCCCTGTTACCCTTTTGTTTAGGTTCCCTAAGTATGTTGTTCTGGGCCTACCCCTGCCTTGCTTGCCCTCAATTTTGCCAGTGAGAGCTAGATGTTCAAGACCCTTATGTCTATTAAGGTGTCCCAAAAACTGCATTTGTCGTTTCCTGATTGTTTTTAACAGTGAGCGTCCCACGTGGGTTTCATCAAGCACTACCTCATTTGATTTCTTTTCCTTCCACGATACTCTTAGTACGGCTAGGGTTAATGTACTGTGTGTTTGTTTACTCGTCTCTGAGGGCTAGTGAGTAGTGTTGGCTTAATGTGATGTTTGTTTGTTTGTTTGTTTGTGTTCTCATCGCCGAGAGCAAGTGAGTTGTGCTGGCTTAACACTTTGCCGTCACATCTCACCGATCGGCAAGAACGCTGAACTTCCGTTCCCGTCACAAAACGCCGATCGGCGATGTTTACCTCCCAGGTTCTTTGGATTTTCCCCCAAAGTGCTTATGATGGCAAAGAGTTAATGTGCTCTTTGGTTTATTTGTTTGTGGGGTTTATGTGTGTGTGTGTCAAAACATCCAACGTCTTTCTCTCACTGGAGAAATAGAAGGCAAAGGAGGCAGGGGCAGACCTAGAGAAACTCATTTACAGAAGGTGACGGGGAACATCATGATAATGTGGGGGGGGGGGGTTAGAGCATCTGAGTGGAGGAATAATTGGAGAACCACGGTCACCGATGTCTGTTGCAGATTGTGATGATTGTTAGGGAAGTGGAGGGGGGGGGGGGGGGGGGGCTTTTTAAAAAAAATCTTCCCACTGAAAAGGAGCAAAAAAACCCCAAGAAATACTTTAACATAACTGTCTATCCTCAACAACTGAGGCCTACTATCCTCAACAACTGAGGCCTACTATCCTCAACAACTGAGGCCTACTATCCTCAACAACTGAGGCCTACTATCCTCAACAACTGAGGCCTACTAACAACTCTATGGACAAATTCCCAAACACATCTCTAGTGTGCTTTGTTTCTTCTTCCCTGTCAAATATCTGCCATTCTTTTCTCCTCCTTCTCTTCTATGTCACACCTGTAGTCTTCAGCACTTCTGGGTGGTTGGCAGGTGCTCTGGTGTGGTTTGCTCCTTCTTTCCTATCAAACATCTATCGTCCTTATCTCCCCTCCTTGTTTTCTGTGTTTGTTACTCTCTTGTAACACCTCTAATCTTCGGCACTTACATGACCTTATTGTGTTGCAAGTGCCTTAAAGCTCTTACTAAAACTAAAAATCTTCAGCACTTGTATGACCTAATTGAGTTGTATGTGCAGTAGAACTCTTACTAAAACTTTTTTAAAATCGAAAATCTGTATGTGTGTGTGTGTGCAGGTAAACACAACCGTCGCCCTCACCTGGTCACAAACCTCAGGCTCTCCCCGCGCAGACACCGCAGCCTGGCGGCCGTTGACCTTGACGACGATGTACTCAGTGACCTCTCTGACCTCTCCGACCTCAGTGACCTGAGCGACGGGGACCTCGGGAACGAAGAGGACGACATGTTGACGAACAACTTCCGCGAGGAAACCACCAGAAGTGTCCACAGCCCCAGGGTGAAAAGTTCCATCTACAAATCTGGTCGCAGACGCACAGGTCGGTCGTTGAGTCTTTGCTTTGTTTAACAGACGCACAGGTCGGTCGTTGAGTCTTTGCTTTGTTTAACAGACGCACAGGTCGGTCGTTGAGTCTTTGCTTTGTTTAACAGACGCACAGGTCGGTCGTTGAGTCGTTGTTTCAGTGAACACAAAAAGTGTTGAGGCAAAAAAAAAAATTTGATGAAAATTGCCCAACTGTCAGAAAAATGCCAGCCAGTTTCTTCAATTTGTATTATTTGGACAAGCGCGTGATTTCACCTCAATGCCACACAAATACTTCTTGTTTCTGTTGAGTAGCATGGCGCATTCACACAGTGATATATCTGACTTTCTGTTCATCGTTTAGTTTACTGTTAAAAGAAAAAAGCAGTTCATGATGGACTGACAATAAAGAGAAACGGTTGAGAGTTGACAGGACAATGGGTGTGGTTCAACAACCTGAGGGTAACTACTACCTCTTTCCATTGTGTAGAAGATATCTCACTTTCACTCTAAGTCCAGCACAGGTTTTTAACAATCTTCTCTATGTGCATATTTAGCCATTTTTTTAGACCCATCTTTGTTTTTTTTTTTGGGTGCCTGTGTGTGCGTGTGCGTGAATATTGTTTGTACATGATCCATTTATGTAAAGCGCCTAGAGCTGTGTTCACACGGGAGTGGGTGCTATAGAAATTATCTACATTTTTATTATTATTATTATATTACATTTAGCCTTTTTTTAAAATCCATCTCTTTATACCGTTTGCAACAGGACAACTTAGAGGGCTTTCTCTGTTTTTGGTTTAAAGTTATTAGCAGTCACAGATCGACACTGGCTCGCTATACATCGTACAGAATATGGGTCACGATGCGGTGGAATCAGTCGCTCGTCAATTTTTATGCATGTGGAGTTATTGGTATCATCTTAAAGCTTGTTCATCTATCTTGCTTTTGATGAAAAAAATACCCATCTATCTTGAGCAGAAGTGAAGATATTTGTGATTGAAAAGTTCACTTGGTTTCAGCTGTAAAAATAGCGAGAAAATGGCCACCAAAGTTTGGTAACTTCAATAGCTGAAGTGTCCTTGAAAACTGAAAAACACATATCAACTTTTTAAATATAATTCACATGGAAATGTGTTTTTATTTGGACAAAAAAGGGTTGAACGTAAAACCCAAAATTTGATTAAAATATTGCGAAACTGGTGGAAAAATGCCTGTTTCTCCACTTTGGTTATTTTGACGAGTGCCTGAATTCACCATGATGCCTCACATATAAAAAGTAAAAAGAAGTCGGTAATCACTGAAGAAAGTATTATTTATCTATCCAATATGAAAGCGGAAATTTTAACATTATATTTGTTGCAACATGACAAGGCGTTGTCTTTGAACATCATGGTTTGGCTTCTTGTTTTGGGTGAATCATTTGTTTCTGTTTTTCATTTTCAGGTAAAGTTGAATTTGACCTGAGCGACCTTGAGCTGAGCGACGTAGAGGACGTGAACGTTGATGCCGACAGCATAGACTTGTACGATTAGTTATAAACTTTCCGACTGGTGTTTTTGAGTTTTGTTGTGTATACACTGGAGTCCACATATTAAAGTGTCCTCTTTTACGTTAAGAAACCTGTCTAAGCAGCAGCTTTATGCAGAGTTCTTTCTTTTTGGACGTTTCTATTGAAATGATTTGATACAAAATGCTGGTTGCAGCAGCTTCATGTGTACTGACTCCAATGTGTGTCTGACATTGAAAACATCTTTTTATAAGCAATGTCTTCTAAAGAAAAAGAGCAATATTTACTCTATAATCCCTGTAACAGCATTATCTATCTATATATAGAAACACTTGCTTTCTTTTTCTTTTCTTTTTGTTTAATCACACGTATGCTCACTTATTCAGTGTCTTGATATTCAAGTCCATGTACACTCAACGAAATCTGTGGTTTTTAATGTGTCGTTGAATGGAATGACCAACATAATAAGCTGTTCGTTCTTCGCTTGCTGCCGTAAAAATGTTGTTGTTTTGAGGGATATTATTAGCTAGATCGAGTACTGTGTAACTGCTTCTGGCGGGTCGAGATTTGTTGTGTTTGCCGTGTGTTTGTGTTGTGTGTGTGTGTTTATCGTGTGTGTTCGTGTTGTGTGTGTGTGTTTATCGTGTGTGTGTGTTTATCGTGTGTGTTTGTGTTGTGTGTGTGTGTTTATCGTGTGTGTGTGTTTATCGTGTGTGTTGTGTGTGTGTGTTTATCGTGTGTGTGTGTTTATCGTGTGTGTTCGTGTCGTGTGTATGTGTGTTTGTGTTGTGGGCTTACACCCAGAATACACTGCCAAGTGGATTTTTTTATTCAATCTACTTTTAGCTTATTTTATTTTTTTAGTCATAGAAAAGTCGGCAGATCCATTATTGAATTGTTTGGTACCACAAGTGAATCGTAGCAGTGGGCTGGTCACTCATCAACAAGCTGCGATATCTTTTCTGTCAAAGTGAAGACTTTATCCCAACAGAACTGTCCACACAATAATAGTAACATACACGTAACTTTTTCCTTCTGGAGGACTCTTTGTCTTCTGTTTTCATGGCCCGTACAAATTGGTACGACGTGTATAATCATTTGTGAAGCGTGCTGACAAAATGAGTTACTTCTCGGATTTTATCCGTATGGAAATAGATACATCACGCTTATAGGTGAATTTTTTTACAATTTATAGGAAATAGATACATCACGCTTATAGGTGAATTTTTTTACAATTTATAGGAAATAGATACATCACGCTTATAGGTGAAGTTTTTTACAATTTATAAGTGTGAAATAAGAAAAGACATTTTGTACTTTAAGATTGCAGCCTCAATAGAAAATGCGAATTTCACCCTAGTGTCGATTTTTGGCCAGTATCTCCATTTGTAGGTTGTGAGAAGTAACTCATTTTGTCAGCTCGCCTCACATTTTTCTTTCAGTTTCAATAGGAATATTTTATTTCTATTAATTCATCAGAGGTGCCAGTTGGCTTGAGAAAAAAATATCCTGAACGTTTCTGACCCTGTGGGAACATGCATGTGGGGATTTGAAATTTACCAATCATTTTGTCTACTACATCTTGTATCAAGGCTGTTTTTTATATATATAGAGTGTGATAATTTCTCAACGATCAGCCCCAAGTCGGACAATTTCAAGAATCTGGATTTCTGGATTTTTCCGGAAATTCATCGCCTCTGTTATTTTGCCTGTGAAGTACACCCACCCATAATGTTACTCTGTGTTAGAGAATACTTTCCGGTAGCTTTTGGAACGATTCTACTCCCACCGGGGAAGATATTTTGTGGAGTTTCTGAATAGGAAGATATTTTGTGGAGTTTCTGAATAGGAAGATATTTTGAGGTGTTTCTAAATTGGAAGATATTTTGTGGTGTGTCTGACTCTGTCATTCTGTTGGGAAGATATCTTGTGGCGTTTCTGACTTTGTCGTTCGATTTGGAAGATATTCTGTGGTGCGTCTATCTCTATCATTGTGTTGGGAAGATATTTTGTTGTGTTTCTGAATAGCTGTCCCCATCGTTTTATGCAAGAAAAATTATGAAATTATGCAAACTGAGCCCAAAAATGTGAAATTATGCGATTCTGGGGTTTTTTTTTAACAAAGAATGATAAAGGAAAATAATCAGAAATTATGCAAAAAATGATCAAATTTTGCTAAATTATGCGGGGTGCATAAAACCACAGGGACAGCTGAATGTTTGAATGACTGTGGATATTTTACGCATCCACGCCCTTCCCGACGTTCCTGTACTCTTATGGTACTTAGAGTTAGCTATTCATATAATTATCATTATATATATATATATCTATAAGAATATAAATGTGTGTCATTTCATAATTGCAAGATGCTCTTTCCTTCTTCCTTCGCACTAAAACTTTAAACTCTTTTTCCACAACAGGACTCTGTGTCTTCCATGTTCATGGTCCTTACAAACTTCGACGATTATTTTCTTATCCAATCTGTACTTTTTCACAGGATACTAATTTTTAACACAATGTTCGATATATTATATACGTTTGATATATTATATACGTTTGATATATTATATACAAAAAGGAAATATTTGTTGAAGTTGCCAATGTTTCAGTCCGTTGTGTCATAATAATAATAATAATAATAATAATAGTATGATTTTAAAGTACATCTATATGTTTCACATATGATTTTATGGACGTATTCCACAGCAGTTCCTCATATCTGTCCTCGTCGTTTTATGCAAGAAATATTCTAAAATTATCCAAACTGAGCCCAAAAAATGTGGAATTATGCGATTCTGTTAATTTTAACAAAGAATGATAAAGGAAAATAATCAGAAATTATACCCCAAAAAAAAGATCAAATTTGCTAAATTATGCGGGGTGCATAAAACCCCGGGGACAGATATATACCATGACTCACAAGTGACTGCAAACTGGCTGGTTCTCTGCCCGGCCCGGCCGGCTTTCATCAACATGAGCAATCTGTGATATTTTTACTTGAGAAGAAGCAAATTTTGTCAGTGTTTAGTTTGTGTTTTCACACAATTCACTTCTCATAATCAAAGCCATACTCGAAGATCTGATCGGTACTATGGACATTGCCATTGCATATATATATATATATATATATAATATATATATATATGTACTTTATACGTACTTTTACTCACTTATCTGTACTTTGTACACACATTCTGCAAGACTTTGATTTACACAAAATTTCTGTTACCACAAAAGAGCTTCAGTTCCCTGAGATTTTTACCCCCTCTTTATTCCGAAATATTCTATACATAAATCCTTAATGCAACTTCCCTTGACCAACATGTCAATTGTCTACCGCCAAGAAATTCTCTGGTCCAGTGAATTTTGTCTTTTCAAGGTTTTACTGTATATATTTTAACAAATTCACCATCAGTATTTTGAGTTTACTACTTTTAAATGGTTGGTAAATATGCGGTGCATAGGGCTAGGGAAACTTTTCATCAAAGTGTAGTTTTATTTTGGGAATACTTTTCATCAAAGTGTGATTGTATTTTGGAAATACTTTTCATCAAAGTGTAGTTTTATTTTGGGAATACTTTTCATCAAAGTGTGATTGTATTTTGGAAATACTTTTCATCAAAGTGTGGTTGTATTTTGGGAATACTTTTCATCAAAGTGTGATTGTATTTTGGGAATACTTTTCATCAAAGTGTGGTTGTATTTTGGAAATACTTTTCATCAAAGTGTGGTTGTATTTTGGAAATACTTTTCATCAAAGTGTGGTTGTATTTTGGAAATACTTTTCATCAAAGTGTGGTTGTATTTTGGAAATACTTTTCATCAAAGTGTGGTTGTATTTTGGGAATACTTTTCATCAAAGTGTGATTGTATTTTGGGAATACTTTTCATCAAAGTGTGGTTGTATTTTGGAAATACTTTTCATCAAAGTGTGGTTGTATTTTGGAAATACTTTTCATCAAAGTGTGGTTGTATTCTCCTTTCTATCTCACCAAAGCCTTTACTAAAAGGATGCCTTTTGATCGAAGATGAAGACTCATAATGACATCACCAGATATTGGTTTCCAATTCAAATCTATGCCCACTTGATGCAAGGCTTCTATACAGGAAACGAAGCTTTCACTTTTTAGGATGCCATGATGCCACCAACTTCCCCTTCCAAATATCGGAGACCCCCCGCCATCTTATCACACGGAGGGAACAGTTGTATCGGGATTCTCCTTCTGTGTCAGAAATGTGCGTTCTTTTCTTTTACATGTTGACAGTTTTTTTAAATATTATGTGTCCATATTTTCTTACATATAATGTATCCATATCTCAATGATATCGAAATAAATGTGTGTGTGCCTGAAGAAAGGTACCAAAAGTCGAATTTTGACCATTTTGAGTTAAGGCTTGTACCTTGCAGGACACTCAATGCTCAACACAGGGGTCATTGAATTTGTGAGATATCTCAAGTAGTTTTTGAGATATTGCACATTTTGTGAGGTAAGGTGTAAAGATCTAATTTTGAGAAAATTAGCTTTTAAGTTTAGGACACGTATACAAACTTTAAAAAATACCCTAGTCTCAAAAGTATTCAAAATAAAATATTTAGAGGTCAAATCAATGAAAACCCTCCTGACACATTGTTATAAAAATGGTGGAACTATCATTAAATTTATGGAGACACTTTTTGGTCAAAAAAGTGATTTTTGTCATTATCAGCTGGTAGCTCAAAATGGTCTGTGGCGACTTTTGGTACCTTTCTAGAGGCACACACACAAATATAAACAATGGGAAAATGACATTCCGTCTTCCTTCTTGTCTTTGTTTTAGTATAAGTTTTTTAGTTTGAGTAAAAGTTTTACGGCATTTACAACACAATAAGGTCATAGAAGTACCGAAGATTAGAGGTGTTACAAGCGATAACTAGCGCAACAAAGAAGGAGGGGAGAAAAGGACGATAGATGTTAGATAGGAAAGAAGGAGCAAACCACACCAGAGCACCTGCCAACCACCCACTTGTATATGTTTTATGGCCCTTACAAGACAAAAAAGTCATACAAGTGCCAAAGATTAGAGATTTTACTAGAGAGTAACATACAAAAAAGATGGAGAGATAAGGATGACAGATGTTTG